GAAAGGGCCATGGGGGCAGAGGTCTCATGAATAGTATAGCACTGTCCCCCTTTAATACTGTATAGTGAGTGAGTTCTCATGAAATCTGGTTGTTCAAAGTATGTGGCACCTCCGCTCTCTCTCCTTCTCCTACTCTGGCCATATGAAGTGCTGGCTCCCACTTTGCCTTCCACCATGATTGTTAAGTTCCCAGAGGCCTCCCTAGAAACTGAAGCCACCATGCTTCCTGTACAGCCTGTAGAACCGTAAGCCAATTAAACCTCATCTCTTTATAAATTATCCAGTCTCAGGCTGGGTGCAGTAGCTCATGCCTGTAATCTTAGCACTGTGGGAGGCTGAGGTAGGCAGATCATTTGAGGTCAGGAGTTCGAGATCAGCCTGGCCAACATGGTGAAACCCTGTCTCTACTAAATATATAAAAATTAGCCAGGCATAGTGGTGGATGCCTATAATCCCAGGTACTCAGGAGGCTGAGGCAGAAGAATCACTTGAACCTGGGAGGCAGAGGTTGCAGTGAGCTGAGATAGAGCCACTGCACTCCAGCCTAGGCAATGGAGTGAGACCCTGCCTCAAAAAAAAATTTTTTTTACACAGTCTCAGGTATTTCTTTACATGAGAGAATGGACTAATACAGCTGAGCAATTTTATCTTTTGTTAAAAAAAAAGTTTTAGGTTTGGGGGTACCTGTCAAAGTTTGTTATATAGGTACACTCTTGTCATGAAAGTTTGTTGTACAGATTCTTTCTGCTCTTCTTCTTCCTCCAACCCTCCACCCTCAAGAAGACCCCAGTGTCTGTTGTTTCCTTCTTTGTGTTCATAAGTTCTCATCATTTAGCTCCCACTTATAAGTCAGAAAATGCAGTCTTTGGTTTTCTGTTCCTGTGTTAGTTTGCTAAGGATATAGCCTCCAGCTCCATCCATCTGCTTGTAAGATACATGATCTCATTCATTTTTACGGCTGCATAGTATTTCATGGTATATATATGCACCACCTTTCCTTTATCCAATCTGTCATTGATGGGCATTTAGGCTGATTCCATGTCTTCACTATTGTGAATAGTGCTGCAATGAACATTTGCGTGCATGTAGAATGATTTCTATTCTTCTGGGTAGGTACCTAGTAATGCAATTGCTGGGTCAAATGGTCATTCTGCTGTTAGCTCTTTGCAGAATCACCATACTGCTTTCCACAGTGGTTGAATAATTTACACTCCCACCAGCAGTGTGTAAGTGTTCCCCTTTCTCTGCAACCTTGCCAGCATCTGCTATTTTTTGACTTTTTGATAATAGTCTTTCTAACTGGTGAGATGGTATTTCATTATGGTTTGGATTTGCATTTCTCTAATGATCAGTGATGTTGAGCTTTTTTTCATGTTTGTTGGCCACATTTCTTCTTTTGGAAAGTGTCTGCTCATGTCTTTTGCCCACTTTTTAATGAGGTTGTTTTTCTCTTATAAATTTAAGTTCCTCGTAGATGCTGGGTATTAAACCTTTGTCAGATGAATAGTTTGTAAATATTTTCTCCAATTTTTTAAGTTGTCTGTTTACTCTGTTGAGAGTTTCTTTTTACCATGCAGAAGCTCTTAATTTTAATTAGATCCCATTTGTCAATTTTTGCTTTTGTTCTAATTGCTTTTGGTGTCTTTGTCATGAAATCTTTGCCAGGTTCTATGTCCAGAATGGTATTGCCTCGGTTGTCTTCCAGGGTTTTTATAGTTCTGGGTTTTACATTTAAATCTTTAATCCATCTTGAGTTGATTCCTGTATACAGTGTAAGGAATGGGTCCAGTTTCAATCTTCTGCATATGGCTAGCCAGTTATCCCAGCACTATCTATTCAGTAGGGAGTATTTCCCCCATTGCTTGTTTCTGTCAGTTTTGTTGAGGATCAGCTGGTTGTAGGTACAGAGCCTTATTTCTGGGCTCTCTATTCTATTTGATTGGTCTATGTTCCTGTTTTAGTACCACTACCATTCTGTTTTGGTTACGGTAGCCCTATAGTATAGTTTAAAGTTGGGTAACCTGATGCCTCCAGCTTTATTCTTTTTGCTTAGAATTATCTTGGCCATTTGGGTTCTTTTTGGTTCCATATGAAGTTTAAAATAGTTTTTTTCCTAGTTATGTGAAGAATGTCATTGGTAGTTTGATAGGAGTAACACTGAATCTATACATTGCTCTGGGCAGTATGGCCATTTTAATGATACTGATTCTTCCTGTCCATGAGCATGGGATGTTTTTCCATTTGTTTGGGTCTTCTCTGATTTCTTCAAGCAGTGTTTTGTAATTCTCATTGTAGAGATTGTTCACCTCTTTGCTTAGCTGTATTCCTAGGTATTGTATTCTTTCTGTGGTAATTGTGAATGGAGTTGTCTTTCTGATTTGGCTCTCAGCTTGGCTGTTGTTGGTGTATAGGAATGCTAGTGATTTTGTGTATCCTGAGAATTTGCTGACACTGTTTATTAGCTGAAGGAGCTTTTGGGCCGAGAATATAAGGTTTTTAGATACAGAATTATGTTCTCTGCAAACAGATATAGTTCGGCTTCCTCTCTTCTTACTTGGATGCCTTTCTTTCTCTTGCCTGATTTCCCTGGCCAGGACTTCCAATACCATGTTGAATAGGCATGGTGAGAGAGGGCATTCTTGTCTTGTGCCAGTTTTCAAGGGAAATTCTTCCAGCTTTTGCCCATTCAGCATGATGTTGGTGGTTTGCCATATATGGCTATTATTTTGAGATATGTTCCTTCAATACCTAGTCTATTGACAGTTTTTCATATAAAGCAGTGTCAAATTTTATCAAAAGCCTTTTCTGCATCTATTAAGATAGTCATGTGGGTTTTGTCTTTAGTTCTCTTTATGATTTGCTTATGTTGAACCAACCTTGCATCCCAGGGATGAAGCCTACTTGACTCTGGTGGTTTCGCTTTTTGACGTGCCACTGGATTCAGTTTGCAAGTATTTTGTTGAGGATTTTTGCATGATATTCGTCATGGATATTGGCCTGAAGTTTCTTTTTTTGTTTTCTCTGCCAGGTTTTGGTATCAAGATGATGCTGGCCTCCTAGAATGAGTTGAGGAGGAGTCCCTTCTCCTCAATTTTTTTGGAATAGGTTCTATAGGAATGGTATGCCACTTACTAAATATAAATCTTGGGGATGATGCCTGGCCTCTGTGCCTCAGTTTCTGAAAATAGTACTTATCTCATAGGGCTGTTGGGAGAATTAAATCAGATAATTGCTTACATTATTATTAATATTTGTTAGTATACACATTCTCTTTTGGCTTTTTTCGCAAATAGCAGAATGATGCACATCCGTCTTCATTTATTTGGCTCATTTTTTCATCTCACATCACATTTTGATGAATAATTCCATACATGCTGTTATAGATTTGCTTCATTCTTTGTAATCATTGACTAATATTCCATTATATGAATATGCTACTGCTAAACATGTAAGTTATTTTCAACCTATTCTTATTATCAAACCATGCTACAATGAATATGCTTGTAATACTTTATTGGATTCATGTGCAAAAATATTCATAGGGTAAAATCCTCAAAGTTGAACTCCTGAGCCAAAGGATGCGTGCATTTTAATGCTTTATAGATATTGCCCAGCTGCCTCAAAAGAGGTTATATCAATTTACACTCCCAAGCAAAATGCACAAGCATCCACATTTCCCTATACCCTAGCGGACACAGGATATTGCTAAATGTTTTCATCTTTGTAAACACGATGTGTTGAAAATGGCATCTCACAGTTTTAATGTGCATTTCTCTGATTATGATAAGATAAAGGAAATGTAGTGCAACTGAACCTCAGTAGTCAAATGACCTGGCCATGACTCCTGAGTGAAGGACACTGGTAAACACCATCAGGATGCAAACACCTCTGTATTTACGAAGAGGGGATACTCCCTATTGGAGAGCACTTAGCTTATTTCATGTATGTACATGTGTAGTTAGTTAGTTACATCCAGCAGTGGTGAAAGGCTTATTCTGAACCAAACAAACTTTCTCTCCTACCCGCTTCCAGCATCTGGTTGGGAGTAGCATGTTACAGCCATGAGGCATGCATTTGTACAGATGACCACTTAGTCCTCCTTGAAACATTATTTTTTCCCATTGGCTCCTCTGCTGTCTCACTCATGGGTCTGCTCCTAACTCACAAATTACTCATTTCCCAGTGTTCTTGGCTGTCTTTTCCCCTCATCTGCACTTGTATACATGGGGGAGCCCCAGGGCTTCTCTCTCAAACTGCAGCTTCTCCCTGGGTGATGTCTATTCCAATTGGTTTAAATACCAAAGCTAGGACTAGGGAGAGGTCATTGAGGCACTTAGCACATGAAGTGTAAGGAAACATTCTTTCCTGGGCCCATGCACGTGCAGAACTGGCCCTGGAGCGTGACTGCTGCCTTACCTTTTCCACCTTAGGCACCTTGTTTGCTTCACCCTAGTCCCAGTCCTCTTAAACAGCCCAGTCTTCTCCCTGGACCTCCAGAAACATAAATTCTATTTGACATTTCTACTTGGAGGTTTTAAGATAACTCAAATGTAAAATATCTAAGACAGAACTCTTGCCTCACTTCCCATCCTGGTGCCCCAGCCTGTTTCTTCTACTAGTCTATCTCAGTTAACAGCATCACTATTTATTCAGCTGCTCAGGACAAAAATTTTGGATTTTGAACAAGTCCTATCTTCCATCTCCAAAATGTATCCCAAATCTGACAACCTCTCCCACCATAGGCCAGCCCCCATCTCTCACCTGTGTAAATAGCCTCCCTCAGATTTCTGGATATTTGTCCTTTCCCACCCCCTTGTGATCACTACTCAGCATCCAGAATGATCTTTTAATATCACGAAGGAGACTGTGTCACTCTCGTACTTAAAGCTCTCTAGTGGCTTCCTAATACATTTAGAATAAAAAGCCAACTCCTCACCATGGTCAATAGGCCAGGGCCCAGTGGGTGCAACAATCTGAATCCAGCACAACAATCCCACTTCTGCCTCCCCACCATTCACCAGGCTCCATTGCACTGGCTTATTCCTGCCTCAGCTGTGCTCCTTTTCCCTGAAAAGTTCTTCCCCTAGATCTTCATGGGTGATTTCCTTCTCAACATTCAGGTGTGAACTCATGCCACTTTCCCGACCACCCCCATCCACTCAGAGATCACCCAAAATCCCATTACCTATTTTGTTACTCCATCATATGTATCACTATCTGAAACTATCTTATTGTTGATGTCTTGACCCCTTCACAGACTCACACAGGAGTGCCCCATGTACTCAGCCTGCCCCACTCAACCCCTTGCAGGAGGGAGCACACAAGTGAACGAGTACAGAAACCGGCTGGCTGCTTTAGTGCTGGAGCAAACTCCATGCAGGCCCTGCAGTGGCATCCAGGTGGGGGTGCCTGCAACCCCAGGGCCTCAGAGGTGTTTCACAATGCTCTCTTAGCTCTGCCATCTGCAGACAGCAATGTGTTATCAGGTCAGTGGTCCCTTTGCTTCATCACGTGGGCTGGCTACCCTCTGCCAGTGAGGGCAAAGGGCCAGTGTGACAGTCTTTTTGAGTACCCACACTTTGTACATCCTGAATTTCTTGTCAGTGCCCAAGAGGAATGAGGTCACACAGACAAACTGAAGGATGATGAATGTGGAGAATTTTATTGAGCAATGAAAGTGGCTCTCAGCAGAGAAGGAAGCTGAAAAGGTAACGGGAAGGACAGGTCGCTCTCCGCTAAAGTCAAGTCACCTCTCTCTAATGTCCAGCCACCATCTCTGAAGTCAAGTTGCCTCTCTCTGATGTCCAGCCACTTCTCATGTCTACTGGTTAAGTTTGGGGTGTTTATAGGCACAGGATGGGGGCGGGGTAGAGTGGGTCATAGGTAATTTTGGAAAAGGCAACATTCTATTGGTAAAAAGACATTATTTAGAAAAAACCAATTGGGAAAGAGCGGGCACACAGGGATAGAAGTTCTCACTTTGGGCAGTGAGTTTCAGGCTTTTCAGCTCAAAAGTCAGGTTCTGCCAGAGACCTGCCCCTGTTTGCCTAGAATTCCTATGCCTCTGTCACTGTTACTACTGAATAACAGTTCTTCTACAAAGTTCAGGGGCTTAAAACAAAAATTTACTAATTCGGCTGGACAGTTCTTGACAGGGCCTCTCCTAACTGTTGCAGTTACACAGCAGCTGGGTTGGAGTCTTCTTTTCTGGGGTGGACATCCAGGACAGTTTCTTCCCTCTTGTGTCTGGTGCCTCAGTGCCCCTCCAGGCAGGCTTTCTCTCTAGCAGAGTAGCCTGGACTTCTTGGCAACTCAAGCTTCCAAGAGAAAAATTCCAAGATCAAACAGGCCTGGAACTAGCACAGTGTACTTCTGCCATATTCAGGAGGTCAAAGCAGTCCAAGGCTAGTCCAAGTTCAAGGGCACTGGGGGAAAAATTCTACCTCTTAAATGGGAAGTGACACGTGTGTGAAAGGGGGAAAAGCATTGATTGTGTCCATCTTTGGAAATAAGCTGTTGCGTGGTCTAGTGGTCTGTCTTCTCCCTTTAGGTTATAAGCTCTGTGAGACAACAGGGACCTTGTCCATCTTGTTCCATGGCTCTACTTCCAGCACCCAGAATCCCTGGCACATAGTAGGTGCTCAGTAAATAAATTAAGCACTTGTAACATGTTTGGGGAACTAAAATGAACTGAATTAAACTTCTCCAGACTGGTTCTGCCAGATTTGCTGATGCCATGCATGCTGATGCCTCATCAGACAAGAGAAACCCTAAAATGTACGGTTTCACTTTCTCTACAAACAAGAAAAACTTGCCCTGAACACAAAATCTAGAAATAGATTTGGCGTGTTTTCTACACGGAAATATTTCTCATAGTATCAGAAATTATTTCCCCACAGTTTTGTGCTGCATTAAAATATTGAAGTTGACAAAAATATCTCCATTCTTTAATCTTGGTGTGGACTAGAAACAATTTTTTTTTGGTAACAAAGTAAATATGAAAACTTCCTGATGTTTGAACTCCCCAGATATCGCCACACTTAAAATATCATTGCAAGTTAAGCTATTTTAAAAATGACTACTGAGAAAGGCCATTAAAAGCTTGATCATTAAAATGTATAGGTTTGGGTTATAAAGCCAGCACTTAATTGTTAAAATCATTACATATGACCAAGTACAGAAAATAAATTACCTCAAGTCTCCTCTTTGCCAATTTTTACTGGTGAACTCTATAAGATGATCCTATCTTTAAACCTTTTTGTAAACCCCTTGTAAGTTAGTAAGTGAAAATGTATTCATCAGAAAGATTTTAGTGATGTTTGAAATTTAAAAAGGAGAGAGATTTAATTTTTTAAAATTATACTTGCAGACTACTGCTAATGAAATTTCTTCTGACCCTAGTTTTGTCTTATCTTCAGTCTTTCCAGATTTGCTCAAAGTGATCCCAGTGAGCATCCACGTCAATGTCATTCTCTTCTCTGCCATCTTTATTGTGCTCACCATGGTGGGGGCAGCCTTCTTCATGTACAATGCTTTTGGAAAACCCTTTGAAACTCTGCATGGTCCCCTAGGGTTGTATCTTTTGAGCTTCATTTCAGGTAAGTAGAAAATTCTACCTCTGAAGACAAATTTACTTTTCAATATGTCAAAAAGATGGTCTACCTAAATATAAAGTTATAGTCTTAATACATACACATGGATGCACACTGTAGTATTATATATAATAACAAAAGGTGTGGAAATAACCACAATTCAACAATAGGGAATTCAGCAGGTACTTTATGGAAGTCTATAAGGTATGATGCTGACATCAAATTATATTTTTGAAGGTGTAATCGAGAGGATAAATGCTGTCTCAAAAAGTGGAAAAAGCAGAGGTAAAGTTATATAAACATTATAGGGGCCGGGCGCGGTGGCTCAAGCCTGTAATCCCAGCACTTTGGGAGGCCGAGACGGGTGGATCACGAGGTCAAGAGATCAAGACCATCCTGGTCAACAAGGTGAAACCCCATCTCTACTAAAAATACAAAACATTAGCTGGGCATGGTGGTGCGTGCCTGTAATCCCAGCTACTCAGGAGGTTGAGGCAGGAGAATTGCCTGAACCCAGGAGGCGGAGGTTGCGGTGAGCCGAGATCACACCATTGCACTCCAGCCTGGGTAACAAGAGCGAAACTCCCTCTCAAAAAAAAAAAAAAAAACATTATAAACCTAATTTGATATTTATAAAATATAGAGAATAGACATATAAAACACATGTATACATATATGTATATAGAGGCTATATATGTATATACGAGAGAGAGAGAGAGAGAGAATGAATAGACTCCAGTCTGTTGGTTGTGGTTGTCTCTGACCATGACACTATGGGTGACTTTTATTTCTGCTCATGCTTAACAGTATTTTTAAGTGTTCAATAATGTGGCATTATTTATACATAATAAAAATAAACAAATGCCATCAAAAAAGAGTAAAGGGCCAGTGTTCCACCCACATATGAGCAGGCATATTCAAGCCTGTAGGTACTTTGTGTATGCTAAGTATATCTGGACAGGGATAAACTCTAAAGCCGGAAGACAGTTCATCAATAAACATGTGCTACTCAATAGCTAGGGCTGACGGAAAAGAATACAAAATCCGGTCAGTGCCAAAGGGCGCTTACTATCGGCAAGTGGGAGAAGGAAAAAGAGAAGAAAATGAAAAATGTGTATATAATGCACATGCAGCTGTTCTGTAGGGGATCTCCGATTTTGCCCCATTCTACATTTGCAAAAAGATTCAACACACTGTCAGGTTCCCAGGAGGCAAGTGATTTTACTGATGGTTTCAAGGAGAGATACAGAAAGATAACAACTCACACCAGCAATCAATGTGACGAAAATCTCTAACTGTTTCTTTTTCTCCTGAAGTTGCCCTTTGGCTGTCAGCCACCACGTACCAGGCTCAAGGTACTTTCTTGCTCTTGACATGGTTCCCTTCTCCCGTACAATTCAACCCCAGCCACAGATATGTATAGCTCTCTCTATATATGAAACAAAGCCCTGTAGTTAGCAGGTCACTCGCAGTGTAGCCTCTGTTCACTGTTACTTGTGCATGCTGCTTAGGGTCTCACGCCATCCACATCCTGCTAATCACATTTTTCACCCAACCAAAGTAGATCTCTTGACAGTGGAGATTCTGCTAATATATTCTTGTTATTTGTCACAAGTATATAATACAGTTTTAAACTGTACAGATGATTACCCTATAAGGGCAGAGTCTAAGCCTTGCCCATCTTTCTATCTCTGGCAAAAGCATTCAGCATGAAGCTCTATACGCAGTGGACAATTCAATATGTATTTGCGGATTTGAAATAGCAAGCCCAGAAAGGAGATATTAAGTTGGTCACCTAGACAGAACAGGTTTTAGCAATCAGAACTCATATGAGAAGGAATTGGCAGAACAGGCACTTTGAAGCAATAGAACATGAGCCAGTGAGGAGTGAGACGGAATATCATAAACGAAGACTAAGGGCTTTGCAACCAGGGCAGAAGAGCAAGAGCACAGGCTCAGGGTGTGGGCAGACAGAATGAGAAAAGGATTCAGTCACATGTGAAGGTCCAGATGAGAAGAGAGTTGGGATCACTTCTGCTCAGCGAACATCCAAAACCAAACTGGTGGATCCTGGTGGTGTGCTGTTTTAGTGATGACCATCACACATGATTTTAACAGAAGGAATAGAATGTAAAGCAGTGGTTCTCAAACCAGAGTTTCCAGATGAACAGCATCTGCATCATCTGGAAACTTGACAGAACAGCAAAGTCTCAGGCCCTACCCCAGACCTACTGAATCCGAAACTTGGCGGTCTGGGGGAGGATGGCCATCTGTATTTTAACAAGCCCTTCAGGAGATTCTGAGGCTGGCTCAAGTTTGAGCTACAGGGAATTGATAGGTGGTAGAAGACTGACTTAACAAAAAGGAGACCCTGAGGTGATTCAGAGACGGTAATGTCAGAAAGCAGCTACCGCCCTAGGGCTTGGGGGACCCAACAAAAGAGTTTGGCATTGCCAACCGGGCATGGTGGTTCATGCCTGTAATCCCAACACTTTGGCAGGCCGAGGCAGGCGGATCCCAAAGTCAGGAGTTCAAGACCAGCCTGGACAGCATAGTGAAACCCCATCTCTACTGAAACCACAACAACAACAACAACAAAACTAGCCAGGTGTGGTGGTGGGCACCTGTAATCCCAGCTACTCAGGAGGCTGAGGCAGGAGAATTGCTTGAACCCGGGAGGTGGAGGTTGCAGTGAGCCGAGATCGCACCACTGCACTCCAGCCTGGCAGACAGAGCAAGATTCCATCTCAAAAAAAAGTTTGGCATTGCCAGAACCTAGAAGCTTGAGGAGAGGCCCCAGATCATTGGGTCTCAGATCTTGAGGACTTGGTGCTGGACACCTTGAGGGGTTTCTGTGAGCATGGAAAAGGGTCGGAAACTCCCAGTCGCTGCCACCAGCGAGAACTGCAAGTGAAGTGGAAGGCATGGGACCTCCTCCCTTTCCTTTTCTTGCCTTGTCTTCCTTCTCCCCCTGGTGCTCACGTTTGGCAGAAAGCAGCTGACAAGGCAGAACTAGTTTGGGGAGTCTTGACCTGGCATCATAAAGCACAGAAAAGCAAAGCTGGAGTGAAGGTGAGACGCAACAGCTTATTAGCAGCACAGCTGGCTAACGCTCCAGCTGCTGAATGGAATTCTGAAGAACAGCCCATTTGGAAGACAAATTATTTGACAGTTCTGACAGACGACCAAACTTAGAGCATTTGAAAAGCAAGATGACTCAGAGAATACAGAATTTAATCTAAATCCCAGTTCTTATCTCTGCCTTTGGCCAGCTCTAATGCAAGGAGAACCTGAGTACACAAATACATGCAGGAAGGATCAGGCCCTGGGCTGCATTCTATTCTGTCTCACCCACCTTCGAATTTGTTGTAAAAGCATGGGCTCAGCTGGGCAAGGCAGCTCACGTCCGTAAGTAATCCCAGCACTTTGGGAGGCCGAGGTGGGCAGATCACAAGGTCAAGAGATCAAGACCATCATGCCCAACATGGTGAAACCCCATCTCTACTAAAAACACAAAAATTAGGACCGGGCGCGGTGGCTCACGCCTGTAATCCCAGCACTTTGGGAGGCCGAGGCGGGTGGATCACAAGGTCAAGAGATCAAGACCGTCCTGGTCAACATAGTGAAACCCCGTCTCTACTAAAAATACAAAAAATTAGCTGGGCATGGTGGCACGCACCTGTGATCCCAGCTACTCAGGAGGCTGAGGCAGGAGAACTGCCTGAACCCAGGAGGTGGAGGTTGCAGTGAGCCGAGATTGCACCATTGCACTCCAGCCTGGGTAACAAGAGTGAAATTCTGTCTCAAAACAAAACAAAACAAACCCACAAAAATTAGTCAGGTGTGGTGGCACACACTTATAGTCCCAGCTACTCAAGAGGCTGAGGCAGGAGAATCGTTTGAACCCAGGAGGTGGAGGTTGCAGTGAGCCAAGATCACATCATTGTATTCCAGCCTGGGCAACAGAGCAAGACTCTGTCTCAAAAAAAAAAAAAAAAAAAAAAAAAGCATGGGGCTCAGTTAAGGTTTGTAAATCAGGGAAGGAAGAGAAGGGGAGAAAGAAAGGGAAGGAGCCTGCTCCAGATCTGTGTCTTGCAGAGAATAAAAGCCCAGTGTGTTTTTGGATCATCCAGTGTTTTTTTTCTTAGCCCCCAGTATTTATTTTTAAATATCAAAATGTTCAATAACCCAATAAAAACTGTTATGACAAGAAAACATGTTTGGGGGTCAGACGGACTGACAGTTTGTGACCTCTGGGGATAAACAGGTCACTTTGGAATCACAGACTTCCTCACTTCCCCTAAATCTCATATGGTACCCAGAAGCCCTTGGAACTTTTGAAATGTGTATTTACAGATGTAATGTTCATGCAGACCCTGGCTCTAAGCCACAATGGTGTAAGGGTAGGGTTTGGTAGCCCTTATCCCAAACATTCTAAATGTGAGCCAAGGTATCCCGTACTCAGAGGCCAAAGACTGCATTAGGGGTCCTTTATTTCAGGTACGAGTTACATTCCATTAAGAGACCCCAGAGGTCAGCTCTCTTCACCGACTGCTTCTCCTCCCTTGTTTCTCTTGCCGGTGTGCGCGGCCCCCGGTGGCCATGCTCACCATCAACAGAGGAGAAAAATGGTTTCCTCCTTGGCCCTCTTTTCTTTTTCCTTACCGCATGCACATCCAGGTTCCCGAAGCTTCCCCCTATCCTGGTGCTGAAGTCATTCTACGGTCATGTCTTCAACTGCCTGCTTCCCTGCTGGATGGGCACCCAAGACTTGGCATCCTGAGGCATGTAGAAGTGGGGAGAAGAAAGGGAAGGGAAAAGAAGTCCTCCCGACTGTCTATCTGGAACTTTCTGTACTACCCAGAGTAATGCTATGGGCATCTCCTTATGTCTCCCAATGTGCATGCCAGAGCCTAGAGGTAGAAAAGGAAAGAAAGTAACACCACAGACCAGGCCAGCAATGGCTTCAGTCACACAGTCACTCATACTTATGGCTTCATATTCTG